CTTTTTCAAGGTGATTGATACCTGTTTAGGATATCAATCCCTGATGTCCATCCCTAGGGAGGTATATGGGTGTATTCATTGTTGGGTTTCCTTTTTTGTCTTTTTTTGAGACAGGGTCTCAGTGTGCAGCTCAGGCTGGACTTGAGCTCACTTTGTAGCCTAGGCTGGCCTTGAACTTGCAAGGATCCTCCTGCCTCAGCCTCCCCAGTGCTGGGATTAGAGGTGTGCACCACCACGCCCGGCATTTTTTTTTTTTTTTGGTATTGGGAATCGAACTCAGGACCTTGCGCTTGCCAGGCAGGCGATTGTGCCACTGAGCTACATCCCCAGCTGTTTTATCTTTTGTCTTGAGCTCTGGCCCACAGCAGAAGTGGCCCTCTCTCCATTTGCAAGGTGTCTTATCTTCTGCGCTGGTTCCTTCGAGGGCCTGGCCCTCTCTGACTACAATATTTCTGTTTAACTCAGCTGCCTGTAACACTATAAGAGGATCGGTTTTTCTCTGTACCGCAGAGGCGGCCTTTTTGCCCTCTGTCTGCTTGCAGTGAGGACAATAAATCCTACTCCGTGTTGCTTTTACACTAGCTTGGTGATCTCAGCTGGCCTCTGCCTTGCACCGTGCCTTACAGGTGTGAGGTGGGACAAAGCAATGTGAGCCAATAAGATTACACAAAATATAGTCGCGTAGGTAATATTGATTACGTGGGGACCAAATGGGGAAGGCAGTCCCGTAGCATGTGCACACGGAAGGAACAAGGAATTTCCGGGCAGGAGTGAGTAGGGAGGTTTTGGTCCGCCAGCCCAGGTGATCTGATGCCTATTTGGAATACCAGTCACTGCTCTTCATCGCTAGCGGGAGTATGTGGGTGTAGCTGTTCCTCTTGTTCTTGAAGCCTGGCCTTCAGTGAATGCACCTCCAGCCGCAATGGTCTTCTGTGCCGAGGGCCCAGCCCCGTCTAACTGCCTGCAACATTCATCACTAACTTAGCTGTGTACAATACCCAGACCAGCGTGGCCACCCTGGGGGAGGGCTTAGTGGGGTCCTCAACAGAGGACCAGAGTGTGAGCCCCAGGCTCCCGCTCTCTCCCTGGCTCCCTGCTCAGGCCCTGAGTGCCCGGACAGTGAGCCAGAAAGAGCTCTCAGGTGCCATCCTCTCCACAGGCCACTGTTCACAGGGCGGGGGTGGGGCAGGAAACCAGTCCTTTCTGCGGAAGCTGCCTTCCTTGTTTTTGCTTCTCCTGGCTTTTCTAAAGAAGCATTTGGGAGGGAGAAGAAAGAACTCAACCTCAAGAGCCCTTAGAACTGCCGGGCATGGTGGCACATGCCTATAATCCCAACACTTGGGAGGCTGAGGCAGGAGGATCCTTGCAAGTTCGAGGCCAGCCTGGGCTACATAAATGAGTTCAAGGCCAGCCTGAACTGCATAGTGAGACCCTGTCTTAAAAAGACAAAATAAAGTAAAATAAAATAAAATAAAACTAGCATTAAAAAAAAGAGGCCTTAGAACCACAGGGCGCTGCTGTGTTTAGCTGCCTGTGTCCTGGGGCCCCACGGGACATGGATGAAGCTGCTGTGGCACCCAGAGGCTGCAGGTTGGAGCTGAGGGGGCGGAGGTGACGAGAACACCTCACGTTTCTGCCCGTTTGGGAAATGGGGGAGATCAGGAAAACCCCAGAGGCGATGTCTGCGTACAAAGGAACAAATTCCAGTTCCACTTGTACACTTTCAGGGGATATTTTCTCCTTTTTTCAAAACTGTGACACATTGATTTGGAAGTCAAATGAATGTTAAAAAAAAGGATGCCCCCCCCCCCAAAAAAAAGGATGCCCTTCGAAGGAGTCACCGCTTTCCACTTCTACACACTTGTACGTGTACAGATGCGTGGTATCCACGGAGAAAATTTCCTTGGGGCCCGTCAGGATTGTAATCCAGGAAACTTGAAATCGAGAGAAAAACCCGACTAAACACGCTCACTTCATTTGTTTCGGTTGCTTGCTTGTTTAAAGCTTTTTCTGATTTTTCTTTTCATGAGTCCATGTCTGCAATACATAACGATTACACTGTCGTGGGAGCTGGCGGTCACAGAGTGCATCTTAATGCCCTGTACATCCCTTTCCCTCTCTCCCTTTTGCAAAAGAGCCATCTCCCTGGTTCCTGTCATCTATCCTTTATTTTGTTGTTGAATTTATGTATTTGTGTATTTGTTCATTTATTTTTGTCTTTTTCAGACAGGGTCTCGCTATGCAGTTCAGGCTGGCCTTGAGCTCACTTTGTACCCCAGGCTGGTCTCAAATTCACAACAATCCTCCTGCCTCGGCCTCCCAAGTACTGGGATTACAGACATGCGCCACCACACCAGGCTTCTTTAATTTATTTCTACTTCAGGTCTCTCATATAAGAGAAACCGTGGGCCGGGGATATAGCTCAGTGGCTGAAGTGCTTGCCTGGCAAGCCTGAGGTCATGAGTTCAATTTCCGGTACCAAAAAAAAAAAAAAAAGAAACACTAATTCTCTAAAAAAAAAAAAGAAGAGAGAGGGAGAAACTGTGTTCTTGTAGACAGTTAAGTTAGGTAGAAATAATATAGGCAGTGCTCACTTCGGCAGCACACATACTAAAACTGGAACGATACAGAGAAGATTAGCATGGCCCCTGCGCAAGGATGACACGCAACTTCGTGAAGCGTTCCATATTAAAAAAAAGAAAGACAGAAATAATATAGGCAGCCAGGCCTCAAGAGTCGGCGCAGAAGGTGAGAATACGTTGCAATGGTGTGGGCAGGCGCATTTGTTAAAGGCCGGAGCTCCAGACAAACGAGAATGGCTACACCCGCAGCTCCCCTAGGGACGAACAGCACTGACCGACATCCTAAACAGATGTCCACCGCCTTGGGTGAGGGGCCGGGAAGAGCCCCTGTTCTGTTCCACGCACACGATCCCCCCGAATCAGGACTACCTCAGTTACTATACTCGTAATCTTATTTGTTCCCCGAAGCTTTGCCCCGCCTCATGCCCACCTTGTGATTTCGCATCGGATCATTGTTACCTCGGCGACTATCTTGTAATTTTTTTTTCTGGTACCAGGAATCGAACTCACGACCTTGTGCTTGCCAGGCAGGCGCTGCGCCGCTGAGCTAAAGCCCCAGCCCCTGACTGTCTTGTAATCTTATTAGCTGATTGTAGTTTTTCGCACCTTAGACTCCCCCACCTCATGATTTTGCTCTATAAAATTCCCTTGAAAAGTGGGATCCTTGGGAACACACGGGGATCCTTTCTGTCTCTCTTAGAAGCTTTCCATCCCGATAAACAGGTTCTGCTCTTAACCTCTGTCATTCCTACAGTTCATTCTTCCATTTTAGAGAACACGAACTCGTACTGGACATCTAGCAGGTTGGGGTTTCTTTCCCCTGTATCACTGTGATATTTAAGTTTGTGTGTCTGATCTGCGGCATTTAACATTGTGGTCTCAAGATGCATCCATCTTCCTACACATGGCACAGTTTACCCTTCTCTACGGTTACTTGCTCTGATCCCTGACGTAGCGCTCATGGAGCTAAACAGCGATCCCCTCCCCTTCACTATGGATACCACCTCTGGGTGTGGTCGCTATAGTAACGGCTGTCTTTCAGGAATTTGGGAGATGCTTCTGTCTACCTAACTGGCTCGCATCACTGTCCTCTCACTCAGGCCTCTGCAGGTGCTCGACAGGGGTCCTTTGCCGCAGGGCTGAAAACACCTTCAGAGCGTGCAAATGCCTGGACACGGCCTGAAGAGCCATCCAGTGGGCTTTGCGTGTGGAGACCATGGAGGGCTTCACTCTTCCGTCCCCAGTCACCCAGCCTCTGTTCACCCCGCCTCAGTGTCCTGTAAACACCTTTACACCCCATCCTCAGAGAGGCAGACCTGAGACTGGGGCTCCTACCTCCTTAGCTGGGTGCCTCATAAACGAACTTTCTTTTGTGTAATACATGTGGGGTTTTTTGTTTGTTTTTTTCCGGTACCGAGAATCGAACTCACGACCTCGCGCTTGCCAGGCAGGCGCTGTGCCGCTGAGCTAAATCCTCAGCCCCTACATGTGGTTTTGGTGCTTGGCACACCGTGCAGTGGGCAAGGCCAACCTCACTCGCTACGAACTCAGGGTCGCTGAGGTTGTGTCCCAGTTCACAAAAGGGCGTCGGCGTCGGGGTGGCGAAAATGACATCACTTGGGAATTCCGACCCAGGGCTGGCAAAAGAGCGGTTTGTAAGAAGGCCCTGGGTGCAGCTGCGCTGTCCGGGTGGTTTAGGGGAAGGAACCCATCACACAGAAGGGCATCAGAAAGCCCAGAGTTCTGAGAAACTGTGGTTTGGTCCAGTTCAAAGGTTCAGCTGTAGAAGCGTCTCCGATGCAATTAGCCATGTTTGCCTAGTTCCAGGTTAAGCGCCCCAAACCAGTGCTACTCCATGATTGTTTTCTTTGACAACATATACACACTTCCATACACGTACAGAAATGTTTTACTTTTTGCATTTAACATGCCATAGGAATGCTGGCATTTGATTTTTAAAAATGTTTTATTTTGAAATATGTACAGGTTCATGGGAAGGTATAAAAAACAAACAAACATGAAGCGATGTCCCACGCACCCTTGCCCATTTTCCTCGGGGGTAACGTCCCGCAGGACCACAGCACATGGTCACAACCAGGGAACATCCAGGTGTGCACACAGCTCTCAAAATGTCACCGCGTGTGCAAATACATCCCTGCAGCCACCATCATGATGAGACACAGCGCTGCCCTACCATCACGAGGCCTCTCATGCCATTCCTTTAGGGTCACACCTTCCTCCTCCAGCCCTGGCAACCACTGACCTATTCTCCACTCCCAAGCTTTAAAGACATGTGGTCTGAAGCACGGTACAAGCGAGGATTTCAAGATAGCTGAACAGAGGTGCCCAACCCTCACCTCCTCCTCCGCAAAGAAGGACCAATGTAACAGGTAAACAGCGGCACAGCGGCCTTCTGAGATGAGTGACCAAGAGAGAGCCCTGGACATCAGCAAGCGAGAGGCTGGAACTGTGCGAGATCCGGAGGGCTGGGACATCAGCACGGGAAGAGAAACCAACTCGCCCAGCACCTGCTCCCGGCTGGGAAGGACGTGCGCCACGCGTGGGTAGGCAGGACCCCTCCGTCCCTGTCAACACTGGCAATCTTAGCGGCAGGACAACTCTGCAATCTCCCTGCGGCCAAGGGAGAGAAGCAAGCTGAACTCTAGCTGGCAGTTTGCTTTTGGATAGGCTCGCGGGCAGGTCCCAGCATTGCCAGAGTCTGAGTCCACAGCGATTCTGATCCCACGGTACAAAGATCTCTGAAGCACGACATTCCTTCTGAGGGGATCGGTTGAAAACATGGGGCCAAAGAGTCAACGTCTGACACACAGACACCCCGCGTTGTAAGACCCTGTCACAGGTCGTACCGGTAGCTCTAGCCCAGGACACCACAGTGAGCTCCAATCTGACAGTACCAGTCCCTGGAGCCACCCGGAAGAACTCACCAACCTCAGAGGCAGCTATGGTCAAGCGCCAAACCTGAGGGAGGCGGAACGCTCAAGTGGGGGTCTTTGCCTAGTGGAGAGGATGGGACACAGCGAGCTCTCTGCCACCCCCCAAATTCATGTGCTGGAAACTTCATCCCCAAAGCCACACGAGTGGTGGCTGGAGGTGGGGCCTTCGGGTGAGAGGTCGTCTTAGGATGGCATGAGCGGCTTCACAGGAGGAGGAAGTAAGCCCTCAGCGAGCACACCTGCTGTCTGTCCCCCTCACGGCACAGCACCGAGGCCCCCAGCAGAGACGAGGAAGATGCTTTTTGCCTTCCCTGCCTCCAGAACCACGGAGCAAATCAACCTCTATTTTCAAAAATTTTTTTCTGATTTTTAGACAGGGTCATGCTGTGTAGCCCAGGCTGGCCTCAACTCCAGGGGATCCTCCTGCTTCAGCCTCCCCAGTGCAAGGATTTTAGGGGTGCATCACCATGCCCGGCAAAACCTCTATTGTTTATATACTACTCTATGTGCAGTATTCAGTTTTAGTAACGGAAAATAGACTAAGACACCGACTTTGCTTGAAGAAGGCAATGATTTTGAACAGCTGTGTCTCTTCCTTGCCAGCCCAGAGATGCACTAGAGGACCTACGCAGGGGAAGTGCAAACAGGGAGTCCGAGTCTGCTGACCAAGGTCCTTGGAAAAGAACGTCAGGACTCGGCAGCGTGAGGCACAGATTTACTAGTCAGAGTTACACAGCGAGGCGGACAGAAGCCCGTAGCCTGAGTCGCTGGAGGGGCACCCTCCGAAGCAGGCATTCAGACCCGAACACCCAAGGAAACGCCAGGCCAGCTTTTGGGATCAGGAGATACGCAGAGGTCCGGTGTGTCTCTGGCCCAGTTCTCGTTTCAGGGGCCACTCGGTTCCCAAGAAACGGTCCTGCTTGCTGGGGAGGGCCCGGCCTGGGTGCCTCGGTGGGGTGCTCGGCCGCCTGGAGGGAAGGGACGTGCCCCTCTCATGGGGTACTCTGCAAGACTCCTGGAACCAGAGGTGTCTCTAGGTCTAGAAAGGGGACCGGGACATCCAGGAACCGCCCCCACGGCCCGAGTCGGTCTCAGCCTGGACTGCGACTCAGTCACCGGAAAGTGCTTTTTATTTTTAATACCTGACTCAGAGCCGCCAGGGAACCAGTGCTTATTGAGGCTCTTGGGTTCCTAATGCTCAAGTGCAGCCGGGGCCCAGGATAAGCGCCCTAGGACAGGCTACGTCACAGGTAGCATTGTCATCTTATTTATTTATTTATTGTCTTTTTGAGATGGTCTCGCTATGCAGTTCAGGCTGGCCTTGAGCTCACTTTGTAGCCCAGGCTGGCCTCGAACTCGCAACGATCCTCCCGAGTGCTGGGATTACAGGCGTGCGTCACCACGCCCGGCTGGCATTATAGTTTTGTAAGTGAATATTTCTTGGAAACATTGTCTCGAATATCGTTAGAATAAGCGTGCACGAAGACTCAAGCGCGTTATGACTGAATTTCTTGCCAAAAGGCGTGTAAAGGTAGAAATTAAATTTGGTCAAATGTGAAATGTGTGATTACTTGCATTTATAATAATTTTGCCATGGAGAGGCATGGATGCTATATTAGAAAGCTAGAAAAAACGTACTTTTTCTTTTTCTTTTTTTTTTTTGGAGACAGGGTCTCACTGTCGTTCAGCTCGGCCTTGAACACACTATTGTAGCCCAGGCTGGCCTAGAACTGACGGCGATCCTCCTGCCTCAGCCCCCGAATGCTGGGATTACAGGCATGCGCCACTACGTCGGCAAAGACGTATTTTTCAAACAGTAACGCAGCCAGCGTTTGCCAGCCCCGCTGGGGGCCAGCCTCAGTCGTTGAGACTCAAACACGACCAGAGCGCATCCGCCACTGTGCGCCTGCGCGACCCGGGCCTCAGAGAGCCGAGAGCCCGGCCCCTCTCAGGCCCCGCCCACTTCCGCCGGCGGCGTCCCCGCCCACCTCGCGTTTCCGGATCCTCCGCTTGGCCTGGCTCCACCAACCTCGCTTTCGCCCCGCGCTGTCCCTTTCCTCCGCCACCGTGTGGCTTCCGCGGCGAGTGTTGTTTGCGACGCTGTCGTGCCACAGCGCGCTTTACGGCCGCGAGAACGGGGCGCTCGGGCGCCAGGGCCGCTCGGGCCGGGAAGCAGGGCGGGCGGGCGAAG